GTGTCCCTAGCAGCTTATCAGATGAAGGATGATGCCTCTGACTGGTGGATTGACCACTGGTCCCGGAGGCCAGAGGCGGAGCTTCATGCTCTCACTTGGGAGCAAATGAAAGTGATGGTGCGCAACAAGTTCCTTCCCCAGAGCTTTTGGGATAGGATGGAGCATGAGTTCTACCACTTGCAGCAGGGCAGCTCCACAGTGGATGAGTATATCCGCACTTTCACTCGCATGTGCCTTTTTGCGGGCGACGCAGTGAACACTGATGCCAAGAAGGCCCCCAAGTTTCTCAAGGGGCTCACCCAGAGGATTCGTGAGTTGGTGGGCAGTCACAGGCCGATGTCTTTCGCCGACACTGTTAGTTGGGCTCAGGAGGTAGAGAGCTGTCTCATTCCGATAGCTCCAGTTCCTTCTTATTACCATGCCTCCCAGTCATCTCATACCGTTGTCCAGCATGCTCAGCCCATCTCATCTGTGCCGCCCGGCTCTAGTTCGGGCAAGAGGAAGTCCGACTTCCAGAGCAAGAATAAGGGTAAGAAGGGAAATTTTGATAGGCGCGACAACCGACCCTCCACTGGACAAACCTGCCCGAAGTGCGGCCGATCCCACAGTGGCGAGTGCTTAGCTAACCAACGCAACTGCTTCAACTGCAACCGTTCAGGACACTATGCCAATGTCTTCCGTGAGCCGAAGAGACAGCAACAACAATAGCCGCCCTACCCTCATCAGCAGCAACAACTTCCCCCACCACCTCCTCATCAGCAGCAGCAGCCCCCACCGTTCCAGCAGAGGGCTGGGGGTCAGGCCCGAGTCTACACCATCACCCATGATGAGGCTGCTCGCAATGCAGGTACCATGTCCGGAATGCTTTCGATATCCTATGTGCCTGTTTTTGCCTTATGTGATACCGGTGCTACCCATTCGTTTATCTCATCTCATTGTTTGGAGTCATTATCTATTAGCACCGTGCATACTTGTGATCCTCTCAAGGTTAGTTTAGCCTCGGGAAAAATTATTATCTCTGATTCAGTGGTTCGCAATCTTCCTATCTGTATTGGTGGTCGAGTTCTGGAGGCCGACGTCTATGTAATTGATATGCGAGACTTTGACGTGATCTTGGGCATGGACTGGCTCACCCGTTACCGAGCCGATATTCGGTGCCAGGAGCGCGAAGTCACCCTCTACCCGTTGCCGATCAGCCTGTTGTGTTCTTTGGGGTGAGTTCGAGGACTGTGCCTCGGGTCATCTCTCCTATGCAAGCTAGGAAGAGCCTTTCCAATGGTAGTTGTCAAGGCTATCTTGTTTCCATGGTATCCGACGATGTTGATGAGCGGGTGCCCGAGAGAGTATCTATTGTTTGCGAGTACCTCGACGTTTTTCCTGATGACTTACCCGGAGGACCGCCCGATCGCCAGGTGGAGTTCACCATTGACCTAATTCCAGGAGCTGGCCCCGTTTCTAAGGCCCCTTATCGTATGGCACCGAAGGAGCTTCAAGAGCTCAAGGCCCAGATCCAGGAGTTGCTTAAGCTCGGTTTCATTCGTCCGAATGTCTCGCCGTGGGGTGCGCCCGTCCTATTCGTCAAGAAGAAAGACGGATCTATGCGCATGTGCATTGACTACCGGGAGTTGAATGCCCTTACAGTCAAGAACAAGTATCCCCTTCCCCGTATTGAGGACCTTTTCGATCAGCTGAGAGGAGCCAGCGTCTTCTCAAAGATTGACTTGCATTCTGGCTATCATCAACTGAAGATCCGAGAGTCGGATATTTCTAAGACTGCTTTCCGTAACCGCTATGGCCACTATGTGTTCGTAGTCATGCCTTTCGGACTCAGCAATGCCCCGGCCATTTTCATGGACCTTATGAATAGGGTCTTTCATCCCTTCCTGGACCAGTTCGTTATTGTGTTCATCGACGACATCCTGGTCTATTCCCGAGATATCGATCAGCACAAGGAGTATTTGAGGATTGTGCTGGAGACTCTTCGCCGCGAGAAGTTGTATGCTAAGTTCTCCAAGTGCGAATTCTGGCTGAACCGCGTGGCATTCCTTGGCCACATTGTGATAGCGAGAGGCATTGAAGTGGATCCCAGCAAGATTGAGGCGGTGAGTAAGTGGGATACGCCGAGAAGCGCAACAGATTTTCGTAGTTTCTTGGGGTTAGCAGGATACTACAGGAGATTTATCGAGGGCTTCTCGAAGATAGCCCAGCCGCTGACCAACCTTACGAAGAAGGCTGTGAGGTTCGATTGGAGTTCTCAGTGCGAGGAGAGTTTCCAGGAGTTGAAGAGGAGACTCACTACCGCGTCTGTCCTATCTATACCCGACCCTACTTTGGAGTTCACCATCTATAGTGATGCTTCCAAGATGGGTTTGGGATGTGTCCTTATGCAGCAGAGGAAAGTCGTGGCCTATGCTTCGAGGCAGCTGAAGCCTCACGAGCAGAACTACCCCACTCATGATCTCGAGTTAGCTGCAGTTGTCCACGCCTTGAAGATTTGGCGGCACTATCTCTATGGAGGCAAGTGTGAGATCTTTACCGACCACAAGAGCCTGAAGTACATATTCACTCAGAAGGAGCTGAACATGAGGCAGCGTAGATGGTTGGAGCTGGTCAAGGACTACGACTGCACCATTAGCTATCACCCTGGGAAAGCTAATGCGGTAGCCGATGCCCTTAGTCGGAGGAGTTATGGCCAGCTGTCTTGCTTGTTCACCAGGCAGGATGTTCTTCTTCGGGAGTTCGAGCGATTACAACTGGAGGCAGTGGAGTCGACTTCGACAGCCGGGGGCGTATTGGCCTCTTTGGTTGTGGGACCGACTCTTCGAGAGAGGATAGTCGCCGAGCAACCGAATGACCGATTCTTATGCCGTATGAGGGAGTTGTCAGCAGCTGGTAGAGTTGGTGGTTTCGCAGTCGCATCCGATGGAGCCTTTGTCTTTGAGGGTAGACTTTGTGTTCCTAGGGTGTGGGAACTGCGAAGAGAGATTTTGAGGGAGGCCCATAGTGGCCCGTACACCATCCATCCTGGTAGCACGAAGATGTATCAGGATCTGAGGAAGTCTTTCTGGTGGCGAGGCATGAAGAGGCAGGTAGCGAAGTTCGTGGATGGGTGCCTGGTTTGTCAGCAAGTGAAGGCTGAGCGCCAGAAACCGAGAGGGTTATTGCAGCCCCTCGAGGTTCCCATGTGGAAGTGGGAGTGCATCACCATGGATTTCCTAGTAGAATTGCCGAGATCGAGGAGCGGGTATGATTCGATTTGGGTGATAGTGGATCGCCTTACGAAGTCTGCCCATTTTCTGCCAGTCCGGACGACCATGAAGGCGAGTGATTACGCCGAATTGTTCGTCAAGGACATTGTTAAGCTTCATGGAGTGCCCGTGGAGATTGTTTCGGATCGAGATGCCAAGTTCACATCCCAGTTCTGGAGGACGTTGCACCGAGCCATGGGGACGAGGTTGGAGTTCAGTTCAGTCTTTCACCCCCAGACAGATGGTCAGTCGGAGCGTGTGATCCAGTACTTGAAGGATATTTTGCGGGTTGTGGTCTTGGACCGAAGCCTGAATTGGGAGTATGCCCTTCCTCTAGTCGAGCTGACCTACAACAACAGCTATCACTCTTCGATCAAGATGGTCCCGTACGAGGCTTTGTACGGACGTAAGGTCCGAACCCCTTTGTATTGGGATGAGGTTGGAGAGAGGAGGATTACGGGTCCGGATTTTGTTCAGAGTACTGCAGCGACAGTTGAGGAAATCTGGAAGACTATCAGGTCTGCCCAGGAGAGGCAGAAGGTCTATGCCGACCGGGAGAGGCAGGAGCATGTTTATGCTGTGGGAGATCATGTCTTTCTGAAGGTTTCACCCATGCTGTTAGAGGTATGCTGTAAAAGCTCCTATTTACAGATTCTATCAATTCCATTTT